GCGGAACCCATGGGTGCCACTTGACCTGCTGGGTCACCCCCGGCCAGCACCCATGCTCTGCATTACCTCTCGTGCGGTGACCTTTTTGGGCTCTGCCCCACTTTGAAGGAGAAGAGTTAGATATTAAATTTTACTTCACAAAATGAAACTGCATTTCAGATTTGTGATGAGCTCTACTGTGCTGGACTGTCTGTTCTGAGAGATGCTGATGTGCTTCCCTTCAGCAGCTGTAAGATCTTCAGCATTAGAGCACTCATATTGACTCAAGAAATAGTCACGGACTGGCAATATTATGATACAATATGATTAAATACCTCGCTGTAAGGCAAGAGAACACCAAATGTTGTGGGACTCTTCTCCAGTTGGCTGCCAAATAATTGTTACGAATTTCACTTGGTCATTGAAGAAGACTGAAGTATATTTTTACCCCTGCACTTTTGACTTCTTTTTCACTGTGTTAGAGGTAATCATTGAAATAATGAAGCAATACATAGGAGTGTAGAGGTTAAACTGGAAGTTGGAGGTAAGTCTGCTGTTTAGGTTTTTTTTCAAGACCTACTTTACAGTATTTATGCATCCTGACTAGCATTGACAGGATACTACTATGTCCATAATAATATCCTGTAAAGGGAGTTATTTGTTACTACCTGTTTAAGAGTAAGAATAAATTTTTTCTATGTTAGTATACATTTCAGCAAAGCATGGAATTGGTAGGTAATTTAATTTAAAGAAATTTCACCTTGTTAAATGTGAAAATGATTTGATTGTTTTCTTTAGTAAACCTTTACCTATTTTTAGTGTTCTTATTTTTATTAAACATTAGTAATTTTTTTCCTGTGGTTTTTTGCAGAAAAGACAACATTTTCCTTGTGTAAAGCTGCATATACTTCCCTTCCTTGTTCCTTTTTAATGAGAGATTGCTTTCTGTTTTCACTGGGTTCAGTTGCATTCATGTTTATTATTCACTATGGAAAATTCTGGGAAAATAACTGGAGTTTCGGGCAAAGCATGAGAGGAACTGACACAAATCACTACTCCTGGAAAATAAAAAATGTCAGTTTTATTTTTTTCTAGTTTTACTTATTCGATTTCTCTTTTACAAATGTGAGAGTTTAAAAAGCAATCATGAAAGTTCATTATAAGCATCGACTGGCAAAATACCTTAAAATGGAACAAATGTCTAATTTATACTTGAGGTTAAAAAGAATATGGATCTGCTATAACGGGTATGGACTTTTTTAGTCACAGAATGCATTAGGTTTACAGTGTAATTATTGCTGATCCTGACTAATGACTGTTTCAGGGATTATCTCTTTTGGGGTCAACCATCTGCTGTGGTTAGAGTAGTAAACTAAACATAATTGAGGGTTGACTTAGTTTGAAAGCAAAAGTATGCATGTCTCTAGGAAAAGAATATATTTTTTTCAGTTCAAAATCATTCAGAAATACCAATATTCCAGTTTTCTGTTAATGACTTTAAGCAAGCAGCTGAATTAAAGGTTGAAAATGCAAACAAACA